GAGGATATTACACGGTGGCTCGAAGATATGACCGGAGTGGTGAAAACAATATTTGCGAACGAGCGCAGCGAGTGAGTAAAATATTGCTTTTAACACAAGAAGATAAAAGTCATATCTTCAAGCCACCGTGTAATGTTCTGTTTATTATATAGTCCCAAGCAAAAAATTGTATAAATACTAAAAGTCACGTGATCGATATCTTCACTAGTGAAGATATGGAAAATATGTCACTGTGTATTTCTCAGTATCTCACTCTCTACTATATAATATATATATATATATATATATATATATATATATGATAACCTGATATATATTTGTATATTTGTATATATATATATATAAGAAATTGCATATATATATATATATATATATATATATATATATATATATATATATATATATATATATATATATATATATATATATATATATATATACAAAATAATGTGTAAAATATAAAATAATGTAGTATTCAGGGGCCGGTTGTACGAAAGGTGGATAAGTTATCCAGTGGATAACTTCTATCCAATGGATAAATCTCCTATCCAATGGATAGCTATCTGCCGAATAAAAATGTGTTGTACGAAGCACGGATAGCAGGGTGGATAGCTATCCGTCGGATAACCTTAATTTTAACCGGAGAAAACCGGATTTTCCTGAAATTTCTTATCTCTACGCCAGCTGTTGCTAGGTATTTGTAAACTTTTGTTGTAGTATCTTCGTATAACTTGTGAATTCCACTAACCTTTGAACTATCAACTTGCAATAAAGGTTTTTTGTTCATGTTTATATTTTGGAGTTTTTCTCGTCCAATCGTTGCAATACTTCGTTTTCCCACAGTGAAGAGTTTGCTATCTACTTATCGATATTTCTTTAAAAGATTTTTGGCTTCTTTATGCGAAGGCAATAGCAAAGACTGCGAGTTTTGTTTTGTTGTTTCAGTACGTTGATTCAGTTTTTAATATTTTATATACTGTCCGAATATTTGTTCTTTGACCTTTCACGTCATTCAAAACAATTTAAGAACATTTTCTCGCAAGATTTGATTGGCTGATCAAGGCCAGCGAACAAAATTTTTCGACTTTCGGTGCCTTGTTGTCTATTTATATATGCAGCTATATTTGTTTGGCGTTGAAGG